TTATTTTTTGGCAGAAACAAACAGTTCCTGGCCATCCACATCACCTATTTTGCAATCCCAAAAGTCCACGGTTCTGGCCTCTACTTCTAACCCACGAGAAATAGAACAAATTCTGTGCTCAGATTATCCTTCTAGCACAGAATGGGGTCTCCAGCAGGTGAAATCTTGCCCTGCTTTCTTGGCAGCATTGCCACATCCCAGCAGGACACACCGAGACTGTAAATTTAACAAAATACATCTCCCAGTTACTCGAACTCTCTCACATGAAAGGTCCTCATTCAGGCAGGTTTTTAAGAACACGTCCAATTCATCCTGATCCTCTCGGTTACTTGGGCTGATCTTACAAGTTTATTTTTGGGTAAGGGCTGTTGTTGGTGTCCTGTAATGAAGTTCTCACAAATGGATCCACAATTCCATGCCTAGACCTTATAAAAAACCGAAACACCATCCGAGGAAACGCGGTAATTACTTACGAATCCACGTGGTTCTCAAAGGAAAGGAGGATTGGGAAGGGCGACGTCTTAAATGCGCACTCAGCAATGGCTTCTATGACTTCCTAAAGGACCAAAATAAACACAGTTACAAATTTATGCCTCTAAAGAAACAGTGGTTTAATCCCTGAAGGCACAAAAGACCCAAGGAGGTCTGAAATCGTTCCCTGGGATCAGACCTTTGGCTCTGAACATCCCAGGGAGCTGTGGGTGCGCTTTTGCCACAACCAGATTCTTCAACCTGAACCGTAATCAAACCTCAAAAACGCCTGACAGGTCTCCAGCACCACATTCCTCCAGAAATGACTTATGCCTGCCAAAATCAATAGTTTAAATGTATTACTCGGTCTCTGCGTGGAGCTGTTCCGTGCCTGGAGCCACGACTTCCATGTCCTGCTCTGCATTACAATAAACATGCTCTGACAAAGGCACATCTCCCAACCATCAGCACAAGCACGGATCCATAAAATCCTCAGTTACTCTGAATCACAAATTTCAGTTCCCTCTGTTTTTTTGATGGTAGAAATCTCTTCAAGGCAAAAGATAGGAATAAAAAAAAAAAAAAAAAAGAAAACCACTCAGATCAAACAGTTGGCCGTGTAGTCATCATCAAACAGAGCACTCAGGAACCAAAACTTCCGTAAAGTTTCCTTTCAGCTCTGATGGAAAATGGAAATCCAGTAAAAAAGTCATTTGCTAACGCTGATTTTAGTGGGTGCACAACATAGCAGTGCACTCACTGTTACAAATGATGAAATGTCTCCCCCTTGGAACACAAATCTTTTTTCAGAAGAACATAAAACACCAAGGACTTTCCACATGCACTGCTGTCAGACTCTGGAGTTTACAAGAGCCTCACACTCTGCTGTTTATAAGAACCCACAAGGATGACTAAAACCTAAAAGATCTATTTATTTTAAACAAGCTTTCTCTGGGGAATCCTTTTCTTCTTTCCCTGCACTTTTAAAGGCTCTGTTGAGGAGTGCAACACCAAGAAATCCACTTCCTCAAACAAAAGCTGAGCTTCTGGTACCTTCTTCTGGTACGTTTATTTTCAACTGCCTTCCCAGCTGCAAAAAGGGCTGAAGTCCTGCATGAGTGGGGAAAATAACCTAGAAGGGTAAACACTGATGAGATGTGGGGATGAAAAGCTCAGATACTGGTTCAGTGGAGAAAGGTGTGTGTGCTGGTGATTCGGGCTTGCACCGCGTTCAGATGTCAAGGCAAACGCTCCAAGAGTGAATTGGATGCTCCACCGTGAATTGATTCACACATTTCTGACACGTTATTTCACTGCCATTTTGCTCCTCCCCAGCCAAGCAGAACACTTGGGAGTGTTGAAAAGAGATCAGCATTTTTCCACGTGGAGAAAAAACACGGGCTCTGAAGCGACAGATGAAATATTCCCGAGGAGGTTTAAAATGCCTTCCACTACCTCTCCTGCAAACACAATGCCTAGGGTTCAACATCTGAATATCCAGGGATAATCCTCCTCCCTGCTAACGATCCTCTCAAGAATCAGATTAACTTTGTTTTAAATTCCTGCTCATGACCGAAGCAGTTGAGAGCCATCTCCCTTAATTAAAGGACTTGCAGCAATCAAACCCCACGCCTATAAACATAATTGGCTGCACATAAACACAACTAGGAAGTTAATAGCAAACGTGCAAGAGGGCTGTTTCACGTTTTCTTGTGATTAACCCCATCAGTGAAGAATCGGAGAAAACAAGTTGAAAAAAAAAACAAAATAAAAGGAGTGTTCTGATTCAAGTGGAAGTTTGTGTTGTGTCTGTGTGGCAGTATCGTTTGGTTTTCCTCCTAAAGGAAGGCACTAGAAGACAAAAAAAACCCAGGCCAACAACTCAGGCTTTAAGTGTGGGAGACACCTCTAAATCCAGAAGCCACAGTTAATCCCTGTCACATAACTAAAATCAGTAATGGACATTTTCCCACATATTCCTGCACACAGCTGAGTTGAGAAAGGCGTTTCCACGGTGAGTTAGTGTCTCAGACGAGGAAGAATTATTTCTTCACACTTCAAAAATGACACCCTGATATATCATTATAAGCTGTGCTGACTCCCAGTCCTAATGCTACAGGAAAACACCTCCACCGTGGCCCCTCTAACACCCTGGATCAATAACATCTTTAGGAATAACAAGATAACAATGTAAGGTTACTGCTAAGGGTCTAGAATCTGCCTTCTGTTACAGAAAAAGGAAATAGAAGATGAAATTCAGTAATGCAGACGACGTGTCGGGGTTTGAATGGCACAAATATCCCCTCACAATCTCCAAAGATACTAATTTTTCTTTTTCAACCTCCAGTGCTTTGGATCTGATCCCAAATGTCAGGGACAAGGGTAACATTGCACACACCGTTATTAATACTTTAAATTTGTGAACATAAAGCTGAGTGCCTGGACCTTGTGGATGGAACCCGCTCATCTAGGCATGAGCAGCATATTCTCTGCTCACAGGGATTTAAAGGCTTGCAAGCTGTAGAGATTTCCATGATAGTTGATGTCTCCTGCCTCAGCTCAGCACTCTTGTCTCCCACTCCCACTTTGCCAGCAGGCAAAGAAGAGGAAAGGAGTGAACTGATGCACTGAGTCCTGCTGTTCAAATCCTCGTGGCCTTCCTCTGCTCCCTGCTGTGTGCTACGGAGCTGCAACCCACACCAGTCCTCCACAGCCCCTGCTGACACCCTGCCAACCCGCCTGCACTGGCACTACCTGCTCCTCCAGCCCTGGCTGAGGCCTGCCCTGCTCCCCTCCCTGTGGGATCCCCTGCAGGGACGTGCACAGGAGCAGCGCCCTGGGCACCGAGCCCAGTCCCCAGATGGCACTGCTACCACACCACATCACCCCCTCTCCTCCCACTGCCATCATCACCAGGAACCTCTGCCTCTGCGAGACCCAAACACTACAACTCTCCTCCTCCAATGACTCTGCACGCGCTCTGAAATCTCCTCTTTGCCCTCACATCCCCCTCCCTGCGCAGCGACGTTCTGGCGACTGTCTCACACGCAAGACCCCCTGTGGCTGAGGCCGCCGAGCAGCAGCGCGCTGTCCCGCCGTCCTGCCGTACCTTGAAGGATATTTCAGTTGTCATAGTGAAGCCGTGGGTGATGACAGGCTCCTCCTCCGCTGTCCTCCCCTTCCAGCAGTCCAGCTCCACACAGCGGCAGCCCGACAGCAGCACTTGCCGGTACATCTCCACCGAGGAGTTGCCAGCCAGCTGTCCAGCTGCGACAGCACAAGAACAGGAAGAAAGGGAAGTCGTTTGGGGCCTCGGGAGTAAATACAAACAGTCTAACAATAATTGGAGTTAGCAGCAGCATTTATCCTTGGCTGAGAAGAGTAAGACTCAAAGGCACGGGAAAAGAGTAAGAACGCGATGGAAATAACTTTGGCACAGTCGGCGTCGCGGTTGGGATTCTAACCCTCAGCCAGATATGAACGAGCAGGAATAACCCAACTGAATTCAGCTCAAAAACTTCTGACAGACAGCACCAAAAACATGAAATAAAATAACAATAATAATTAAAAAGGCTAAGCTGGACAAGACTTTGTTATGCCTTGACAAGCAAGATGAAATTCAGATGCGACTCAGGGCACCGAGATCACGTTTTCTCACAACACGCAACACAGTTTAGTCCAAGATGAAGCAAACCTCCTGCAGTCACTAATGGCACCATTATCAGGTCTCAAATCAATATTTAATACACTAACCACTGCACTGAGGTGGCCAGTTAAATTTCCTGATGCATTATGTAGGGAGAAATTTAATGTAACTGAGAGCTCCCAACAGTGATATAACATAAATCTAAACAAGGAAAACTCACCTTTCCCCAAATTCAGGAACAACTAAAAAAAACAACACAACACACAGAAAGAAACCCCAGCCCAAACCACCACAGAAGTCCAGTTGGATTCAGGGAAGGATATCCAGCCAGGGTGGCTTCACCTGCTGCAACAGGTTTGATTCCAGTCACATGGATACAAACTTCTTGCAGCAGAGAGGTAATGGAAGAATGGCTTAGAGCTTCTTTTAGACGTTAAGAAAATGGATACAGTTTCCTGCTTTCTAACAGACTTCCTGAGTAGATCTGCCTGGATTTCTTGAAGGGAATTCACTTTCTTTCTAAGAATACAGTTAATTTACGAAAAGATTCTTTGCTGATGGGGGACCTATAAATACTTCATCTAGACTGGCACATAATATAAAGCAGATTACTCTAATCCTCATTTTATTGTCTCTGTGGTTCTATGTTTAGGTTTTCTGCTGGGAAACACACATCTGGGATTTGCTTCACAAAATGGCATTGTCTGCTGATGGTATATTACTGTTTTTACCTTCTACTAAAAACTGTAACAAAAACCCTTCTATTTGAAAACTCCTGTTTCCTGCTTCTGTCTGATACAGGAGCAGCAGCAATCATAAATACTCCACGAGGTACTAACATTGCTCCTGTTCAAATCCACAAGAATTCCCAGCTCCTGCTGGGAATTATTATTTTTAACACCTGTTAATAACCGAAGAAACTGGCCAGTGCTGGAAAGCTCTGAAAATAAGGATCCACTGAGCTACTTTCACCTAGAAAGCTGTTCCAATGCTGTCCTTCTTTTCCCCTCCAAGCATTTCGAATTTGGATTAACCAACTATTCTGTGATTAACAAACTCTGCTTCCTGAGAGAGCCCTGGCCGTTCTCACTGCTAAGTGATAAGATCCTCAACCTTCAAAAGTGCTTGAGTAAATCATGACATGCATCACTTGCCATGACACTTCTCCACAGTAACTTATTAATAAGGCTCAGGCATTTTGGAAGGATTCCCACAAAGGATAAGAGGGTATCCAACCTCCAAACCACACAATCTTCAGAAAGACTCCCAGTCAGAGTGCAAAATGCCAACACATATTTTAATACTCTTCCACAGCTTTCAATTTTTCTGAAATATAGAATATGAGGAATGTTCCCTCTAATGTTTTTTTTATATTATTTAGAAATTCCTGTTGTGTGAGTCTCTATATGCATTTGTTCCAAAGTATCCCTTTTGCCTTCTACAATATGATCACACAGACACTAAAGGGAACACTTCCAGGATATTTTTAATAGCCTGATTAATTTTTCAATACTGGAAATTGAAAGCATTCTGTACTCCTTGCTATAACACAAAGAACACCTACAGTAATACCATCACATTTGCATCCCATCACCCTGTATGGGCTAAGGAGAAATGGATTTTGACAAAAACTCGCTTTTCTGAAAAACATCATCGGCCAAAAGACACCTGACAGGACACTGTGGAAAATGAGCCAGTGCTGATCGATCCAAGCTGAGGACATGGGCCATGTTTCCCCATCCAGAGCAGTTCCACACTTCTGTAACACTAATCTGCTCAGTAAGTGCATCCTTGCTGGGTCCTTTCACCACTTCTCCCTCACACTGTGACATGTTCTGCTACTGCCTGTCTGTAAGGCTCTCACCCTGGGGTGGTGTGGCCGGGCTTGCTCTGGCCAGCAGCAGGAAGGCACCTGCTGTGAGCTCTGATTCAGGCTCCCCCCAGCAGAAGATGCAGCTCTGGAGTGTGCCAGGAGCTACAGACACCGCGGGGTAACCTCGTCCCGGCTCTGGGAACCCCTGGAGAAAGACACGCTGCGAGACCAGCTCAGTCTGTCCAACTGCAGGGAGGGAGTGGGACCCGCCAGGACCTGCTCAGGGAGCGCTTCCCGTGCTGCTGGCTCTGTGTATCTCAGTCCTCCATCAGGAATGATGTGGTGGGGCTGGAAGGGAACCTGCCAGACCCTTCTGAGCTCAACACAACAGCCAGCCCAAAACTGCTGCTGATGGCACGGCATGCTCAGAGCAGGCACCACCCAGCTCTCCCTTCCCTTCCATATGGTGCTTTCCAGCTTGGAAACTGCAGAGGCACCGTTTTGGAGGCTCTGGAGGGGAAGGAGGTTTCAAGCAAGCGTTGAACGTAGAGAACAAGCAGCAACAGTCAGCACTGAGGAACTGCTGAGAACAGAAAAGCTGCAGGCTGGTGGAGGAGAGGTGAGAGCAGCAGTAAAGAAGGGAACATGCCCCTCATGGGACATTTTCCTAAAATCAACTGAAAGTACTGGACTGTAAGCAGGGAAGCAGATGCTGGGGGTGGATGGGATAGTCCCACACCGGCTACCTGTGCTCAGCTGACAGCTCTGCCACCTACTGCTGATATTGTTTTTCCTTTTAGCCAAAATATGCATTAAAGGTTCATGACAACAGCAGTGACCTGAGGTGAGACTGGTGAGGCACCAGAAAAAAGCAGAGTTGCACTTCAAGGGTTAATAGGAATAAAGATATAAATATGATAGCAGTGAGAAAAAAAGATGAGAGACAGCAAAAATAAAGTTTGCAGAAGATGACATTTCTTTAAGTTAGCCCAGGCTCACCATAAATCACTTTTTACTTCATGGATTTTTACCTTTGTTCTTGAAAATCACATTTCCCTAAGAAAAAGAAAGCAGTAACACTCCTAAATAAATAATCAGGACTTGATGTACTGCCAAGGGTTTCTACTAAAGGCTAGGAAAATGATCAGTGTAATTAAAAATAAATTCAGAGTGTGCACATGTTTCTTTTTGTGTTATAATGTTGCTTCTTTGTGCATGCTTTTTTCTGGGTTTAAAAAAAAAAAACAACTAACAAAAGGAGAGATAAATGGGAGGGCATTAAGCACAGTGATCATAAAAGTATTGCCAGACTGAACGGTTTTCTTATTGTCCTTATAACTATTACACGACTCGTTGCTATTTCACGGCTTCAGTGAGGGCAAAGGTGCTTCCCCCTTCCCAGGCCACTTGAGCAGATCCTTCAAACTCTGCCTGGGGAAAAAGAACAGCCTGCCACCATTCATTGTGTTCACTTTACCTTCCTGTTGGAAGAAAGCAAATGGGAATGTGGTTGCTGTACCTGGTCTAGGCTGCCAGTTTTTGTAATAAACGGATAAATATCAGATCATTTAATCCCATCGCTGGCCAGCGGTCACACATCTACTGAACATAATGAACCCACTGAAAAGGGAAGGGCTTGTGTTTTGGGCCTGTAAACGTGAAAATTGACGCTCTAAGAAGGAATTGGAAAGAGTTTCAAACTTCTGATTTACTTCCCTCAGTTTGCTATGCCAGGAATATTATGGAAAATTAAAGGGCTGAAGATTGTATTCCCAAATGTAGCTTCTGAAGTTACTCAGAAATGCAGGCAGAGAATACCCGTAGATGCAATCTGAGATGATTTGCAGACTTTCACATACAAGTCAAAGCAAACTTGGCGAGTGTCAAGGTAAATAATTAAACACGTGAGGTCACTTGCAGTGCAGTTGAAAAAATCCAGAACAGGTTGGACTAATCAGGAATTCCCATCCTTAATTCTCTGTTCTTTGGCTTCTGTGCCTCTAGACCTTTGGATCACACCTCTGTCCTGACCAACCCTGACAAAAATCCGTGCTATGGCACTGGCTATAAATTCCTGCTGGCAGAGGGAAGGAAAGTGCTTTATCTCCTCAGATCAACCTTAGACTGCACCGTCTTTAAACCTCCCCGTGGGCCTGTGCTCCTCACATTTGTAAAACAGCTTTACTGCTGTCTCCCAGAAAATCTGTGTAAAGCTGCAGCATTTGGCTTATGCGGGCCCTAATCCTCACTGACAGAACACAAAGTCCACGCTGGAGGTAAGAGGCCTGCGAAACATCACAGTTAAAAACTGCTTTTGCTCTGGCCACGTCTGCCCTCTTCCAAGGAGCATAAATTTCTGCATATTGGAATCACAACTTAAGAGGGGCCCCGCTGATTTTCGCTTCTTTTAATTCAGGGAAACGAAACAGCTGTCAAACAAAATACTTATGTGACAAGTTTTAGCACAAAACACATTTTTAGAGGCAAGATATAAACCTTCGAAAAATGGCACCTAATGGAAACAATGGCACTTCATTTGCTTTATGAGGGCACGAGAAGGTGCCATACAAACTGTTATAACAAACATAAACCAGACAAAAATAACTCCCCCGAGGTCTGTTTAAACTGGGCATCACCACTGCAGGGCTTTGTTTATGTTTTGGCATACTGGCAATTCAGAAGAACTTGGTCAGTTAAAGCCAGTCTGTCAATAACACCAAAAAACCTACGTTATGCATAAGTCACATTTTTAGCACTTAGTGCAGCATTACTTTTTTTATTTGACATAATGCTGAGTCTCTATCAAACATGACAAAATAAACATCAAATCAAACAGGAGAGACAGAACTCCCTGTGCATGTCTGCTTGTCAAAAGCATTTGTTCCTACATAAACTACACTAAAATAGTAAATTTACAATCATTTTCTCACAAGTTAACAGTGTCTTACATAGAAAACGAGTGCCAAAAGTTGAATTCCTAAACTGTCTTTTTGGTTTTTTTTTCTGAATCTTAAAGTATTGTTGACAGTTTGCTGTGCAAACAACACAGTTCAGACTGTAACTCAAATTAACAGGAGCTTCTGGGTGCTCAGCCTCTTGAAAAACACGACAGCACCCAAAAATTTCAGCTCAGATATGAGATGCGGTCAGGGAGTAGAATTCCACCCCTTGCATACACGGACTGTCAGAAAGTTATGTGCCATGTTGGAACCTCCCTAATCTCTGAATCAAAGAAAATTTCATGGAGCTTAACAAACTGTCAGATTTAATGTCTAGGGGCAAATTTATTAGCTACAAAGATGTTTTCCATATTCTGCTCTGCACGCTTGTTCAGCTGCCATCAAAAGTACATCATTCATTCTCCTCCCCAAATACAGACCTTAATCTGGAGTCCTGTCTAAGCTGAAGGAAAATTTCTGGCCAGACTTTATCTGAACAACGTGACTGCTGTTCACCTGTTAACAGAAGTATATTTGGTGCGGTTGTGTAGAGGCCAGAACAACAATCAAGAGCCACTCCTGCTTCCCCGAAGGCTGAACTCCATGATTGTTTCCTGCTGACGGCTTTAGTGTATTTTGTGGTACCCCTGAAAACACGCTAAGAATTCTTGTAAGCTAAGAAATGGGATCTGTCCAGCACTGTACCTGTGAGGTAGGTGTTGTGCGAGGAATTGATGAAATAGTGTGACAGTGGTTGAGACATATCTTCGTTTAAATCCAGTTTCTCAGGCGGAACGACGCCGTTCTCTTCTCCGCTCAGGTATCGCATGAATCCATCCACTGATATCTGTCCTGAGAGAAACACAGATCCAGGGAAAGCACCAGTCAATTTCAAGGGCAGATTTTGTGACAAGAAGATGTTATGTTCAATATACAGTTACACAAAAGTACCTGGGAAAGACCATACAACCAGCCCAGCCTTCACCCAGTTGTCCACATATTCTTTTGTTCCTACTACCTCATTTTCAGCCATGTAAGTCGCAGGTAACTCACCTCCCTTTAGCTGTACCACAGATAAATCATTTCACAAGCAGTTCCTACAGAAAATCAAGAGCACAGGGGAATCAGAGCCACAGAAGGCTGTAGGAATAGAGAAAATAAATCCAGGCTATAAAGGAAAGGGGCCTTTTGGGGACCAAACAAGGCACACCTCCCAGAGGAAACCAAGAAACCTGCCGAGAGCCACAGACACGGGCAACTTTGACCTCTCCTGAGTTTGGTTCACCATGGAACTGCAAAGCAAAGCAAAACAAACTAAATGAAGCACCTTTCAAGTGGGAACTAAGCTCTGCTTTGTAATTTTTATGTTTGTCTTCTAACTCCTCTCTCACTGGAGTGCCAGCATAAATGATCATTTCATATGCTGCTGGCAAATTGGAAAGCGGAGTCCTATCCTCAGCTTAAATATCACCACTGATCTCAGAGGAGCTGTGCTGATTACTTCAGGATGAATTCTGCTGTCAAGCCTTCTGCATAAAGTTGACTTTAGGGTGTCGATTTGTACATTCAGACTCAAAAAAAAAAATCCAGTAGTCTATATTTGAAGATTAATGCTTCACTGAACAAATTAGAGACAGTTTTTCTTGCCTGGTATTTTTTTGTTATTTTGTTTAGATTCCATCTGTTGATTTACTCAACCATACAGCTTTACTTAATTCAGCTCCACAGTAAAGCAGATCTGCTGTATCCCTGATGAACCTGGAAGCATCTATGTGCTTGGTGACTCTCAGCAAGGAGAATTTCTTACCTCTTGTCCCCAACCCAAAACGTTCTGCACAGTGTGTCTGTTAAAAAAACCCCCTCAGACTGTGGCATTGACAAATGGGAGACTTCAGTTTGACTCCTGACTCGGCTGCTCTCCCTTTTTACCCTAAAACATATAAGCTTACACATACTTTTCTAGCATATGAAACAGTACCAGGCAACCCTGCATAATTTTCTTTTTTAAAGCTTGTAACCACATGATGCAAATATAGCATGTAAAGCATTTACTTAAAATCTGTGCTTAGATCTGAGGACTTGGCTCTTGATCAGAGAAGAGAAGATGTAACAGCCCTAAAGGGCAGATCCTCATTTTCATAACAACCCAAGACTGGTGACACTAAACGAAGTTATTCGTGTGACAAGAACTGCAGTGACAATACAGAGAAATGCAATTATTATTCATTCTTATGACAACTGTAAGATTGTTGGGAAGAAAACCATCCACTACTTTAAGGCTGTAATCTGAATGCGATCTTGTCGGGCTCCACAGTTGCTTTGCTAGAGTAACTAATCACCCACAGACTTTGCTTTTCACAAAAAAACCTCTGAGATGGTGAAAATCGGGGAAAAAAACCACCACTGAGGTTTTTCCCAAAACTGAGGATTTAGGAGTATCTCTTCTGCTGCATGAACCTACCCGAGGAACATTAAGAATGCCAACAGTATCAGGTGCTACCATGGAGTCAGCCTGACCTAAAATCCACCTGAGAACTCTGCACCAAGTTCACTGGGACACAGACAGGGTCTGGGGTGTGCATTCACACCAGGCAAACAACATCATACCAGGAAAAACAGTTTAAGATCCAAATGGGAGAGGTGCTACACAGGGAACCAGTAAAGCCATGTCATATTATAGTGAGCTGAAGATCCTAATGTTAGAGACAGCTCAGTCAGAGTCATCTTCAGGATCTGTGGTCTTTTGTGTCCTTCCACCCAGACTAGGAGGGTTTTCCTATCATTCCTGCTCTAGGCTAAAACAAAATGTAGTAGTTTGCATACACACAATTCCCCCAAAAACCTGTGGCATCACAATCACCCTATTCAGAAAAAAAGGCTTCTGTTGGTTACATGGATAGTCGGGTCGGTTCATACAGACATGGTTTTCAAGGTTCTCAAAGTGATCTCTGTGTTTAATCCTCAGAGTGTACCTGACAAACAGGGTCTTTGTGGTCCTTGTTTTTCAGATGGACACCTGAAGCTGAGGATAAACTAACGGAGCGGATAATAGCCCATGCAAAACCTGTGGGTTAAGCTGGGAGCTGAACTGCACAATCTCTTGAAGCCCGTCTGGGTGAACCTGAGCACCTCTGCAATAACAGGAAGCAAAGCCCAGGCCTGCACTTCCTCCCTTCCCTGTGTTTTGTGGTTCACTCTGCTTCTTTGCTTCCTTCCCCGCTGAAGTAAGACAAGGTCTGCAGAGTGCTCCTTCTGTGCACTGGCACTGGTATTAGCATAAATCACAGCACGCATTATCCACACGTATAATTAGATACTTTCTGAGTTACACAGTTGTCTGAGCTTACGGCTGGAGAATGCTATTTTCCCCATCATAATTAAGCAGTCAGCATTTCAGAAAGTGAAGCAATTTGCAAGTTCAATTACAACCAATATTGCACCAGCGAGATTTTCTCCGCAGAACGGAGATGGCAGATGTCAAAGGGGCTTTGTATCCTGGAAATTAAGGAGTACATTGTTTGTGACCATTGTCAATGATATTCCGAAGTCAACTGCAGTGAGGATGACCCTCCGTAGACGCTCACGCAAAACAAAATAGCCTCAATTTATTGGTAAGGTTTGTTCTCTGTTTCCTTAAGCACGCTACAAATTTGCCACAGAAAAAAGTAATATGTGATCAGTTCTTTCCATTACAGCTGTCACCTTTTATCTTCAGGTATATATTAGAAAGATTTAATTAGATATAAAAAGTTGGAGAGGCAAGAGACATATAATGCAAAGACACAGAG